GAGGGGTGGGGAGCGCTCCTCCTGCTCAGTGATGTGGCCAGTGGCCAAGGACAGCCCGGACTCCCGGCCCCAGGCAGCTTCCTTCACACCCGCCAGCTGGAGGGACATCTCCTTCTCCTCCTGCCTTGATTTCCCGAATTTCCAGTGTCCCCAGCCAGCTAGGAAATGTCCCCCGCTTGCCTGCACTGACCGTGAGAGGTGGCGGGCCTGGCTGGGGTGTCACTTCTCACTCGCTCTTGGCCTGATGGGGGCAGTCGCCCAGGGACCCGCAGGAGCCCCCCACCTGCCTCTCCGCCGGGGCTCCCTCTGCCTGGGGGTTTTTCTGCAGCGAATGCTCTGATCACATGGAAATAAAATGAAGTGTTTCCCCTTTCAACGTCTCAGAGAAACACAGAGCAGGAGAGGGACGGCGGTGCCACAGCTGTGGGGAACACCTGGATGCTGGCGCTCCGTGGGGAGCCACCGTCAACCCGACCCTCCCCTTCCCTGACGTCCAGACACGACAGTGAAGACAGACGAAAGCGAGTGGCAGGGCCCTCCTGCCGTCCAGCAGCTAAGGCAGCACAACGTTCATGCTGCGGGACCTTGGCAACCGATGCCCCGTGCCCAGGCGAGTGGCAGCTTCACTATGTACAGCAGGCGGCTGTGGCCTGGCGGGCCTGGGCCACGCCGCTATCTGACACGCTTCTCCACCGAGTACACGGAAATGTAGTAGTCGTTGCTTCCCACGGCCAGGTGAGGCTGCGAGGAGAGAGTAGAGGGGTGAGTCGGGGTTCAGGGACAGGCTGTGGGGAGGCGCAGCCCAACCCCACCCTTAGCCAGCTCCCGCCGGGTCTCACGGACCCTCATGCCCACCTCAGGCCCAGGAATGCTGGGCTGGAACCCACCAGTCCTCTGCAGGGCCCATGCCTGGGGCACTCTGTGAGGGGTGTGGTGCCCCGTGACCCTCTGCAGGGCCCATGCCTGTGGCACTCTGTGAGGGGTGTGGTGCTGCCCACGGGTCCTGCATGTTTTTTTCGGGACCGCCCCCCAGGGCCAGCTCTGGGCATCTCATGTCACGCGTGTCGGCAGAGCTGCATGCCTGGCTCCCATGGAACCTCGCACCACAAGAGGGTGGGTGGGCAGAATCCTGATATAAACACAACAGCCTGAAGCCACGTGCGGAGGCTGCAGCCAGGGCGCCGTGCAGGTGAGGGCCCTGGTGGGGCGGTGCCCTGAGGGCACTGCCTGGAGGTTCCCCAGGGATGGCTTTAGTGCACGCGCTGAGGGCACAAGCTCCACGCCGGCCACTGTGCGTGTGCTGTCAACTCTTCCTGAGCGATGGGACTGGGGCTCTGCGTCTGGGGGGGAGCCCTAGAGATCCTGGGTCCCAGGGAAGCCTCGCCCTCAGGCAGCCAAGGCAGGACCCCTGCCGCCCATGCTTCGCCTCCCAGCCCCGCCCCGTGCTGCGCTGACCCAGTGTGGGTGGAAGGCCAGGCAGCTGATGGCGCCGACCCGCTGGCCCATGAAGCCGTCGTAGTACTTGATGTTATTGATTAGCTCTCCGTTCCCGTTGTAGATGGCGGTGAACTGATTGACGGAGCCACTGAGGGGACAGAAAGGGTTGGCGTCACTGCCCGCTCCTTTGAGGGTGGAAGACAGACCCAGAGACAGAGAGTGCGGGTACAGCCATCTCGGGGCTGTACCTTCTGGTCCCTCTCACTGAGGACTGGGGGCTGGCGGGGCCCTGGGAGTCTGTCCTGGGAGGGAGGACATGGCAAGGACAGGCCTTGTGTTTGTATTTCCTGACAGTGGTGAAATCGCCTCTGCCCTCCCTCAACAGGCCCTGTGGGGGCAGGAACACAAGCGCCTGCTGTTTGCACAGAGGACCAAGGCGGGTGAGGGGGAGGCCGGGAGGTGGGCGGCGCCTACCACGCGATCAGGTCTGCCTGGGGGTGGATGTCCAGGGCCGTCAGTCCCTTCACGATCTGAAGCACATTCACAGACTCGGGCATCCGGGGATCAAAGACGCGTACATCTCCGTTCACGCTGCCGAGAGAGGGTCACGGTGACACCTCCTCCTGGAGCCCCAGGAGGGGTCTGGCCAGGGGGACGGTGAACCTGGGTGTGTGGGGTTGCACACCTGTTTGCACACATGCGGTTCGGGGAACAAGCTGCCTGGACTCTCAGCACCCCCGGTAAGGGCTGCCCACCCTGCTCCCCCAGAGCCAGAAAAGGCCGGGAGCTCTCTGGCCTGGAGAAACGGCCATAAGCACAGACGCAGGAGGAGGCTGTGAGCTACAGAGAGCAGATTGCATGTCACCGGGGCCTGCTGTTCCAGGGACGGAGGCTGGATGGCGGGTGCGTGGCCTGAGCGACGGCCCGGCCCTTCTGAGGCTCCGTGGCCTCCTGCCTTCCAGCCCCAGCAGGCGTCCATCCCAAGAGTTACGTTTGGTTTTTATATCACAAACAAGGGGGAAAAGAGCATCTCTTTGAAGAAATGCCGGCTTTGTGATCATAAATTACGTTTTGTTCTCTCTTTAATAGGCAAATAAATATTCACTGCTCTCGGTGCTGTATTTACCGAGCAGCAGAACTGAATTTACAGCCACATGCCTGGGAGGTGCGCTGCCCCCTGCCCCCTGCCACCTGCTGCCCCACCGCCCCAGCCACCCCGCCAGCCCCGCCACCCCTGACGTCCCTGCCTGTGGAGGGAGAGCAGCTGCCCAACTCCCGCCACACCCTCTGCAGTCAGCAGCCCAGGGAAGTTCCGGAGGTGGCTGCAGGCCAGGTGTCCCCCAGCTTGGAGCAGCCGTGGCCCCTGGGCCCCTGTGGGCCATGCCTGACCTTTCTGGCCAGTCCCAGAACAGGAGTTAATTACTGCCCGAAATGCCATCCCCTTCCAGCTGTTTAAATACCAAGGATATATTTTAAATGGAAGGAAATGATGTTTTCACAGCAGAGCGGCTGTGAGCTGTGGCGGCTCCTACCTCACGCTCACGATGTGGCCGTCGGGACGTTTTTGCAGGGAGGCCTTCACCACCCAGGCTGTGTGCTCCCGGTATGTCATGACGCGGCTGCAGGGAAGTGGGCACACTCAGTGGGGGGGCTGCCCCGGACAACGTCCCCACCCTCCAGGGCTCTGGGGACAACTGGACAGGTTTTGCTAACTCCCCTGAGTCCAGGAAGGAGGGCTCCCACTGGGAGCTGCCCGGGTCTGCCTGTGCCATGGGGTCCGCAGGCCCTTGCCCATCCTCCTTCCCGTCCGCCCCGAAGGGCTAGGGCCCACAGAGGTCACAGCCCCTTCCGGGCGACCTGCTCCTGCAGAGACCCCCTGTGTTTTCCCCGGGCCGGCTCAGGGCTGGGCCCTAGGTCACCATCAGGCCACGGAGACAGTGGCCATCGCAGTGCTCCCACGCCTGCCCACCCTCTGCTTTGCTTCCCCCAAAACTCCTGTGTCTCCCCCATCTGTGTAGACTGAAGGTCAGGAACGAGAATCCCAGACCTAAAGCTGATGAAGCTGGGGCACAGGGACCTTCTTGGAACACTCGCTCTGTGCTGGGTGGAGTTCACTTCTCCTGCACGAGCAGCGTGGGCCATGAGTTTTCTGCCAGACCCGGGGCGGCAACAGCGCCTGCCCACGGGGGTGCTCAGCAGAAAGGCAGTGCCTGGGACTGCTGTGCGCATGTGTGTGCCCTCAGACACTCCTCCCTGGATGTTTGTTCTGTGACCTGGGAGGTGGCAGGCAGTGGGACAGGCCTCTGTGGGACAGACCTCTGTGGGATGGGCCTCTGTAGGATGGGCCTCCGTGGCATGGGCCTCTGTGGGATGGGCGTCTGTGGGACGGGCCTCTGTGAGACGGCCCTCTGTGGCATGGGCCTCTGTGGCATGGGCCTCTGTGGCATGGGCCTCTGTGGGATGGCCCTCTGTGGCATGGGCCTCTGTGGGATGGCCCTCTGTGGCATGGGCCTCTGTGGGACGGGCCTCTGTGGGACAGGCCTCTGTGGGACGGCCCTCTGTGGGACAGGCCTCTGTGGGACGGGCCTCTGTGGGACGGCCCTCTGTGGCATGGGCCTCTGTGGCATGGGCCTCTGTGGGACAGGCCTCTGTGGCATGGGCCTGGTGGCCTTGGGGAGCCAGCATGACTGGCCTAAATGCTCTATCGTGGGCTCCCAGGGAAGCTTTACATCTCACTGAGAAACCTGGACCCAGCAGCCAAGTGGCCTCTACTACCTAGAAGGTACCCTGCCAGCCACGGGGGAGGGAGAACACGGGGCCAAGGTACCATTCGCTGAGCGCCATCCTTCTGTCGTAGACGCGGATGGAGCCGTCACCCAGGCCAGCCACGATGAGTGAGCGGTGCGAATCGCAGGACAGACTTGTCACGCAGCTGTCTGCGCCCGTGGGGATGTCCTAGGGCCAGACAAGAGAGCCTGGTGAAGCCCGAGGCACGAAGCTGCCCTTCCTGCTGTCCTTCAGCGCTGGGACCCCGCTTGATGCTGCTGTGGGGAACCCCGCCCTGGCTGCAGGGGCCTTCTCTCTATCCAGGGGAGCACTGAAGGCCGGCGGTGCCCAGGAGTCACAGGGAGAGGCAGGGGCTGGCAGGGCACTAGTCACTCCCTTTCCCTGGGCCCTCGAGGGACAGCTGGAGGAATCTGGGCCAGCCAGCCAGGCAGAGCACAGTCCCACCCCAAGCGGCGGGCTGCAAACGCCTCTGGGAGACTGGCTGGCAGGGCCAATTAAACTTCCAACCTCTCTCTGTCTCCTAAAAATGAAAGGGAAGCACATTTTGGCAAGGACTCCTCGCTAGCGGCCTCTCAGAACTTCTAATGAGCTTCGGGTCGAGTCCAGGAGGGTCGTCTGGCTCCCTCGGGGCTGTAAGTGCTGGAGAAGTGGGCCGGGGCGATGGTACCCGGGAAGGGCCATGAGAGGGAGAGCACTTTCCACGCACAGTGGGTGGTGCTGGGTCGCGCACTCCGAGGACACCTGGGTGCAGGCACGGGTGCGGCTCAGTGCCTCCACGCACTTCTGCAGGAGAGCACCGTCACCGCAGGCCGCAGGGTCCCATGAGGACAGGCACCAGAGTCTCAACCCCAACTGGTGACCAGACCCTGGGGTCACAGTGTCCCCACTGTGCCCTGAGGGCCCTGGCTCCAGACAGGTGCAGGACCCACCAAAGGAGGTGTCATTATGGCTGCTGGTCAGGTTAGAAGGGAGGCTGCCCCCAGGGACAAGCCTGGGCCGGGTTCTCAGGCTGCGGCTGCCCAGAGCAACCATGGTGACTTCGAGCAGCTGAGTGAGGGTGCCCAGGCCTCCCCTCTGCTGGGCCTGCTCCACACCGCCCTCGGTCCCTCCTGACACCAAACAGCCCAGGAGAGAGGCTGGGGAGGGCCTCTGCTCCACACCTGTCCCTGAGGACCCAGGGGAAGGAAAGCCTGGGCCTAAAGCCACCTCAGGTGCTGCCCTCATAGAATCTGCGGCCTCGCTCTGCTCCGAACAAAATCGAGGTAGTTGGGTATCTTTTCTGCTGGGTGCATCTGCGGGGCCTCTGTCGCTCTTCCAGGCTGTCTCAGGCAAAACCAGTGTACTCCTTTTTGCCAAAACTGAAAACAGATGCTTTAAGCAGCGCAGAGGCTGGGTGCAGTGGCTCATGCCTGTAATCCCAGTGCTTTGGGAGTCCAAGGCAGGAGGACTGCTGGAGGCAAGGAGTTCGAGACCAGTCTGGGCAGATACTGAGATCCACGTCTCCACAAAAAGTTAAAAAAATTAGTCCCAGCTACTTGGGAGGCTGAGGTGGGAGGATCACTTGGGCCAGGTGGTTGAGGCCGCAATGAGCTGTGACTGCACCACTGCACTCTAGCCTGGGTGACACACGGTGACAGAATGAGACCCCAACTCAAAAAAAATCGAAAACCAAAAACCAGAAAACCCACAAATAGTCATTCTAATTTGCAATTTCTCACCCTACCAATTTCTGATGGTCCCTGATTTGCAGATAAGACGCTATTTGAAAACACTCAGAGCGGTCACAGGCTGAGCCGCACGGCAGCACAGGCTGAGTGTCGGTTCACCTGCACCTGGGGCCTCAGGGCGCCCACGTCCCCTCCCAGCATTGAAGCACTGTCCTTCCAGGCCCCGCCTCCACCCCTAGGATGGCCGGGCTTCACCGCACACTGTGGCGAGGACCAGCCGTGCACACGCTGCACCACAGGCCTGAGGCTTGGGGGGACCCACATGGTTACCTGCACCTTCATCTCCCGGTCTGTGTCCCAGATCCGGACAATCCGCACGTCCCCCGAGCTCATAAGGAGGCCAGTCTCCTGCTCCCAGTCCACCACCATCCCGGCTCCTGGAGAGACACAGTGGGACATGGGTCACCCCGTGGGCCTCACCTTGGGCAGGCTTGGGGGCCCTGCCATGGGCAGCCACTTGGCCAGAGGCTCCAAGGAACACCTGCCACCAACAAGCCCATCTGGTGGGCCCACATCCCTATGAGCTCCCATGGGGGCTCCTGGTGTGCCCCACGTTCAGATGGGGCCAAATTCTGAGCTGGAACTCCGAGCCTCCCCCTGACTCAACTCCACCCCAGTCATCTGCCAGAGGGAACAGGGCATTCCCAGAACGCCTGTCCGGATGCCCACCGTCCGGACCCTGGGCAGAACGGGCAGGTCTGGGTGACAGTAGGAAGGCTGCCAGTGCTTGAAGATGAGGGTCCTCAGCTTGGCCCTGTCAAAGCTGGAGGAAACCAGTTCTGAGACCAACAGGAGCTTGGCATGAGCCAGGGGCTGGCACCCTCCGGAGAGCAAGGGGTTGACTCCGGATGGCCGGCGTCAGCAAGGGATGGATGGAGAGAGCAGGCAAGGGCTGTTCTTTGTGCTGGGATTAGACAGAGCAGAGCAACCCCCACCTCACACGACAGCCTCTACTTGAAAGCAGATTCACTTCTAAAAGTGTAATAATGAATATTTTAAGCACACAAAAAAGAACACCACCGTAATCCCTGTACCCGCCACTCAGCTCCAATGCTGCTAACATTTTACCACTGTTTGCCCTTTTGTTTTTTTCTTAGAGAAGCATAATTTTAGACACACTAACAGCACGTCCTGCCCCTGCCCGGAGAGTTGTCCCTTGGGCTGAGGGCACCCCCCAGGGCCGCTGAGGTCCTCCTGCTTGAGCATGCCCATCAACACTGCAGCCTTTCACGTTCAAAAACGTGCTTCAATGTCAAAATGGGGCCTGTTTTCTAGCGACCTGGTTCTTTTTTTTTTCGAAATGGAGTCACGCTCTGTCACCGAGGCTGGAGTGCAGCGGTACAATCTCGGCTCACTGCAACCTCCGCCATCCAGGTTCAAGTGATTCTCCTGCCTCAGCCTCCCAAGTAGCTGAGGTTACAGGTGCCCATCACCACGCCCAACTAATTTTCGTATTTTAGTAGATGGGGTTTCACCAGGTTGGCCAGGCTGGCCTCGAACTCCTGGCCTCAGGTGATCCAGTTGCCTCGGCCTCCCAAAGTGCTGGGATTACAGATGTGAGCCACCACACCCAGCCACAACTTGCTTCTTTAATGTTAGGCTTTGAGGATTTATCCGACCCGAGACACACAGCTCTGGTTAACTCACTTGATCTCGTGTTATCTTCGATTACACAACCCCACCGTTTGAGCTGTCCCTGCTTTGTAAACCATGTCACAGTCAACACCTTCACGTGTCCTTGTGGGCGGAGAAGGAAGCGTCTAGAAACGGAACTGCTGGTCACGCGTCCTGCACGCCTCCGATTTCCCTGGGGGAGGCCATTTCATTCCCTGAATGGGTGACCATCTATATTCTTGGCAGGACACACACAAGGCAGTGTCCCAAAATCCTTACTGACCTGATGTGTTTGCACAGTTGCATGTGTTTTTATATATATTCTGTAACTCGTAGATACTGCAAATATCCTTTTTTATTCTGCCACTTACATTATAGCTGTGACATTTTTCTTGTGGTCACGAAGAAGTGTGCAGTCAAACCTGTCGATGTATCTTTACCCTCGGTCTCCTGTTCAACCTGTCTTTTTGCTCCTCACTGTTATGAAGATTTCCTCTTGTTTTTTCTCTTAAAGGCTTTTATAGGTTAGGTCTCTCGCTGTGATGTGTTTTGTGCATGGTGTGAGGTAGGGGTATCACTGTATTTTTCTCTATATGGCACCAGCTGTCCCAACACCATTTAGCAACGTGGCTCCTCCCTCAGTGCAAAGGCACCCTGCTACGTTGGGCCTTTCTGGGCTCACTGCTGTGCTGAGGGCCCTGGTGCCTCCCGGCCTGGCTGCCCTGTGACTGCAGCTTCATAATGCCGTCTGTGCCTCTTTAGTACTGTCTCAGCTGTTCTGCATTTCATAAAAATCTCTCCTGGGAATATAATCAAAGCGTATTAATAAATCCACAGATTAATTTGAGAACTGCCAATCTCCACAATGATGAGTCTTTTCATCCATGGCTATGGTGCCATCAATACCACATGTGCCTTTTATAGCCTTCGATTAGAGTTTATGCTTTGCTCTGTGAAGAAGGAGCATTTGTTGGATTCATTCCTAGGCATCTTGAAGTTTTTATTGTTGTTGTCCTTAATTTCTTTTTCCTTTTTTTTTTTTTTTTTGAGGCAGAGTCTCGCTCTGTCACCCAGGCTGGAGGACAGTGGTGTGATCTTGGCTCACTGCAACCTCCACCTCCAGGGTTCAAGTGATCCTCCTGCCCCTGCCTCAGCCTCCCAAGTAACTGGGATTCCAGGCACCTGCCACCATGTCCAGCTAATTTTTGTATTTTGAGTAGAGATGGGGTTTCACCATGTTGGTCAAGCTGGTCTTGAACTCTTGACCTCAGGTGATCTATTCACTTCAGCCTCCCAAAGTGCTGGGATTACAGGTGTGAGCCGAGCAGTGATGCCCGGCCAGTGATGTTTTATAATTATATTTTCTGGTTGTTAATTGCTGGCATACATACATTCTTTATTTTTGAAATGCAGTCCCAGGCCAGGTGTGTTTATACCTGTAATCCCAGCACTTTGGGAGGCCGAGACAGGAGGACTGCTTGAGTCCAGGAGTTTGAGACCAGCCTGGGCAATGCAGCGAGACCTTGTCTCTACAAATAATAAAAGAGTGGTTGGTGTAGTGGTGTGCGCCATGTACCAGCTACTTGGGAGGCTGAGGGGGGATGATGGCTTGAGCCCAGGTGTTTGAGGCTGCAGTGAGAACAAGACCCCATCTCAAAACCAAAACCAAACACAACAAACGAAAAAAGAATAGTCCCTCTACGGCGATGCCCTTGACCCCAGCAGGGGAAACGTCCCAGCAGGTCAGAAGCAGGGGGCCCTGTTGGGTCCCAGGCTCTTACCTTGCAGCCCTCCTCCGCTGGTGGGAGGCCTTGTGACCACAGTGAGGGATAGCATATGACCAGGCAGAGGGCACCTGCTTCCCTGTTTCTGCCCAGGAGAGCCCAGCTCCTGCTGCAGCCGTGCAGCTGACAGAGCCTGAAAACACAGAATGGGAGCTCCCCTCTCCCTCGTGATATGCTGTTACCTAAATTAATCACGAAGGACACTTGCTGCCCACCCCAGACATGCTCTTGGGAAGTGGCATCTGGGTCACCGAGGACACCGCCCGGGATTCCTGCTGCATCCCTTTGAGTGGCTCCTTCTACCAGTGCCCAGTGCCGTCCTGCCTGGAGGCACAACCATCACAAGACTGTGCCAGGAGGCCCCACTCTGAGACCTGACGGCGGATATACAAGCACAGGTGGCTTAGCTGCAGATGTTTCCCGTGGTCCCAGCTACTCAGGAGGCTGAGGCTGGGGTATCGCCTGAGTCCTGAGAGGTTGAGGCTGCAGCGAGCTGTGATGGTGCCACCACATTCCAGCCTGGGTGACAGGGCGAGTACCTGTCTCAAAAATAAATAATAAGAACCCATGGGAAGAAACTGGTTTAACGGGCAGCAGGCCACCTTCCGGGGTGGCGAGGATCTTTTGAACTAGGTAAAGATGGTGGCTGCACAACTTTGAAAATGCGCAGGCCAGGCACAGTGGCTCAAGCCGGTCACCCCAGCACTTTGGGAGGCCAAGGCAGGAGCCTGGAGTGTGTGTGCCTGAGCTGGGGGCACCCCGACTGGGGAACGGAGTCCAGGAGAGGTGAGCGGGTGCTGGGGGGAGCGGAGGTCGTGCCGTGGGGCTCCGGCAGGCTCCCTGCAGCAGAAGCCGGCAGAGGGTCCGAGCCCCTCGGTTCCCGGGCAAGGTGAAACCTCTGCAGCTCCACGGATCCCCGCGGTGACCAGGTCAGATGCGTGGTGGGTCCTCAGGGAGTACCCCATGAAGACGGAGCATGCCATTTCTGTCTGGTCCTTGGCCATTCGTGTGTGTCGGTTATTCCCTCAGATGTAACATTGTGGAGGTTAGCCAACCGCTCAGACTGTTAATCTATCAAATGCCAACACTGGGTCCCGGTGACTGTGACCTCTCAGGAAGGGTAGTGGTCATGCTGTGGTCAGCATTCACAGCTCTGGATTCATGTAGTATTATTCCAGTCAATGACAATTACCCTTGGGCCAGTGAGATGGATGGCCCGGCTCTCCTGCTGGGACTCAGGCCCTCCTGTGACACCGTGACCTCCTTGGGTGATGCTGAGCCAGCGCCCCAGGAAGCCCTCGCCATCCACGTCCCGTCCCTGAATGCGTGTCTGTGTCCTGGAGGCCTCTTCTGTAAGCACACTGGCACACTGGGTTAAGGCCGCCCTGGTAGCCTGGTTTGACCTTAATCACCTGTGTAGAGGCCCTGTCTCCAGCACGCAGGCTGAGGTACCCGGGTAAGGCAGTGACATGCCGGTGTGGGGGACATGCCACAGCCTGACCCTGGGCCTCTGGCGTTGAGGGGTGTAGTCAGGTGATCCCCAGGTCCCTTTATAGTTCAGATTCTGTGACACCAAGGGAACTGGTTTGAACCAGTCCTGGACACACAGCAAAGCTGCAGCAGCAGTGACACACCTGCCTGCTGCCCACGCCCAGGTTTCCCATGTCCTGTGCCACCAGCGCCCAGTGCCATCCTGCCTGGAGGCACAACCTCCAGGGTTGTGCCTGGTGGCCCAGCCCACAGCTGACACAACCTTCCGGGCCTGGGGCCTGGAGCTCTCACGCCCAGCGAGACTCCTCTGCTGCCTTCCCCCGAGGTAAGAGCCTCGTTCTCCGTCCCCAAGACCCCTGAAGTGCAGCACAGACGCCTGCTCTGAAGGAAGCACTGGGATGTCTGGGCCAAGAAGGCCACGTCCCTCCTTGGTGCTGTTTCCTGATGCATGAGCCGGGCCCCGCCGTCCTGAGCCAGAGAGACCCACAGCCCATGGGGCGGCATAGGCAGAAGGTCTCGTCTCCCGCAGCGTGGCCTGGGCATGGACGTGTGGATGCTTCCGGGGGGTCCCAGGGACCCCGGCGCCAGCCACAGGTGTGTCCTTTTAGCACTGCGTTTCCGGCAGGTCCAAGCCTTGGACTGGGTGGAAAATTCTCACAAAAGCAAATGAGAGAAAGAGCAAGGCAGAGCCAGGACTCAGCCCGGTGCTCCCATGCTGAAGCCCAGCTCGTCCCACGGCACCACTGCCTCTGAGCGGCGCCTGGAAAACAGCCTGGAAAGGCTGTCAATCACTGATCCTTCCTCTCCTTTCCTCTCTCGAAAATGACGCAGTGTCACCAAAACTGGTCTTTCGGAGATGCACATGATGGCCGGCGAGTGGCCTCACCCCCCAGGCTGGCCACCCAGCTGTCTCCCGGGCCCCTCCTGGACCAGGGCCCCTGGCTGGGGCTCACCTCTCCTGCCCTGTCCCAGGGAAACTGTCACACCCCAGATGAGGGTCGCCCCATGGGGCAAGCAGAGCCTGGAGATTGGGACAGAGGCAACAGGAAAGGGGCCCCTGTGGAGCACCGGGTGTGATGTTCTTTGCTCGATGAAACTTAAGAACGTGGCTACGTTTAAAAAACATCCAGCATTTGAGGAATGTCCACCCTGGAGCTGCCCCCATGAGGCCCCTGAGGCATGTGAGGGCTGCATCTCCTGGGACAGGTGCTCGGACAGAGGGGCAGAGCCAGCGCAGGCCCCACACAGACAGCCGACCACGAGGTGTAAGGCCACATCCACAGGCCACAGATGACAGATAAATCACACACTGGCAGACAGGGCCGGCCATGGGGGGTAGTGGGGGCAAAGGGGGCACGCGTTCACTCTTAGCATTGCCGAGGGCTGCAGGATTCGCTGAAGGGCAATGACTCCCGGAGGCGAATGCCTGGCGCTGCCGAGGGGCTTCTGGAAATCCAGACCCCTTGAGCCTCCTAACTCCTGCCTGAGTCCTTCCAGAAGGACCTGCGGGCCTGTGCCCCGCCCCTCGCCCAGGCTGTGCAGTGGCACAGGCAACATGCAGAGCTGTGCGCAGAGACGGCGCTGCAGCCACTCTGTTCCACCAGCCTGGGCAGGCCGGCAAGCACACAAGGCCCCAGGTGGCCATGTGCACCCACCCCCAAGGAGGAGTTACATTTGGGGCCAGAGAGCGCGTGACGTGGGCCCCTCAGGCCCTGCCAGCAGTGATGCTGTCCCAAGCAGCAGGTCTGCAAGCCCAGGCTGAAGGTCGGGGACAGGGCACCTGTGGGGGGCTGACCATGCCCAGCGCTGGGACTCCGGCCAGGCAGTGCACTCAGGGGCCTGGGGCTCACGCGCTTCCGGGGACGTCGGTGGGGGGCTGCTGCTTTGGGATTTCGGGGACTCTGAGAGGGAGCAGCCTGTGTAGAGACAGCCCCGGAGGGGCCGTGGAATTGGAGCGTGCCCGCAGGCTCAGGAGCGCCTTCTGCTGCGGGAGGAGCTGGCCGGACCCACCTCGTGTCGTAGGCAGCATGTCGGAGAGCCCCTGCCACGCGGTCACCATCTCCGGGTTCTTTTCCAAATCAGCAAAATTCTTCCAGACCCTGATGGCACCATCATCTGGGGAGGGAGAGAGGGAAGGAGGTGAACCGGCCCTGGCTGGCCTGGCCTGTGCTCTGTGTGGCAGTAAGATCCCTGCCTGGCGGACTGCTGCAGTGACCTGGATGGGCAGCCTGACTTGCCACCATGGTTCCAGATCTCTGGGTGCCCGCCGACTTGACTCTGCCCTGAGATCCACATCTGGGCGAGCCAGCGGGAGGAGCCGTGGCCCGGGGGGATGGGAGACCACAATCCTGTCCCACCCTGGCCACAGAGCTCAACTCTGAGTGAGGTTTGACTGCTCTGGGACCTGAGGCTGCCCCTTCCTCCCTCCAGCTCGGGGCCATGGGGTTTCCTGGAGGGGAAGCAGGTGAGTGAAGCCCAGTTGGGTGGGCGGGGCTGCATTTTACCCTCTGGTGAGCCAGCCTGTGCCAGGGAGCAGAATGAAAGGTCAGCTTCACAGAGGACACACACGGGGCCCTCATTCCCTCCTCCCCATTCCTATCTGTGCTCCACAGAGAAAGTAGCCTTGACCTGAAGGGACAACATAGATGTCTGGACTCTGCCTAAGACGTGGGCAGGGACACACCGCCGTGCTCTTAGGGGCTTTGAATGGGGTAAATGGTCCTCTGTGTCCTCCAGCAGACGGCGGGGAGGTCGGCCCGGTGTGGGGCAAGCATGCAGGTCCTCTGAGCCTTCTGGGAACCCTGCCCCTGGCCTCGCCAGCCCCTCCTGCGTGGCCCCCAGGTGCCCTCAAGCCCCAGCTGCTTGCCCTCATGGCCAATGGCCTCTCCTCCACCCGCCTGCCTTTCCCGCTCTCCATCCCGCAGACTGAACGTTCCCAGGTCTGGAGCTGGAGCCCTTCCACTGCTGTCTGGAGCCTGCTCTGTAAATGACCCTGGGCCCTCTCCAGCGCTCGCTCTCTCAGCCAAGGACCTGCCCTCCCCGTCTGGTGCTCGGAGATGCCCACAGCCGGCCTCTCTGAAACCTGGGCTGGGCCTGGCTGGTCCTTGCCCCTGCTGCTGTGCATCCCCTCCCGGTCACGTCTGACAGCTACCGGGAGGAGGACGGGCTTTCGACATGGGTTGATGCTACCTGGTCCCGAGGCGGCACTGGTCGGAGGCGGGGCTGCACCAGGACAAGTCCCCACGGCTACGCCCCTCACCAGGAGCAACGGCGCCGAGAGAGGGCTGCACCGTTGAGTGCCTCAACTTGACACTCGTAGAGGCTCAGGAGCCCCGGGGCTGGGGCCGACAGGGACACGCCGCGTGGGATCCGGGCGTCTGCCTTCGCTGCCCTCACCTGTGCCCTCCTCTCCACCCACCTCCTGGCCCAGTGCTCTCTAATCTCTACAGGAAGTGCAGCTTGACTGACAGTGACTTCTCATCCACGAGAGGCAACGGAAGCAGGTTTTCAAAGTGCGAAAGGAGAATGGCTGTCAACACGGGGGAGCTGATGTGGAAACAACTGTCCCAAGCTGAGGGTGAAACTAAGACATTTCAACCCCCCGCCCAAAAGACCCCCCAAAACCCCCCAACCCCCTGAAACTAAGACATTTCAAC